CGCTCGCCGCTGCTGGTGGGGGTAGGGGTGTGCGTGATCTGCCGCGCTGCAGCGGGATCGCAGTGTTGAGGCTCTTGATGCTAGATGCGCGTTTTGACGACGGAGCAGCTGAGCAGTGGGGGGAATGGCTTTCAATGTTCTGGTTGTTGCGGTTGTTGCGGTGAGACTGACTGACTACGAGCGTACTCGCAGGTAGTACAGAGCAGACGGGCCCGAATCTGCGAGGCGCGCGTCGTATTATGTAAGTTCGGCCATTCGGTCGCTGCTTGGACGGGGTGCTGCGGTGGCTAAATATTGTTAATATTTGAAGCAGAAGAATGCTTCGAGGCTCTTGGCAACGTCCCGAAGTGGACAAAGGACATCTGGAGTGTGGGACAGTCTGTCAGATTGGCTACAAGGCTCGCGTTGACCCTATCGCCATGGGTATTTCTTACGATTCCATTTTGTTCGCAGCTTAGTCGTGTCGTGGGATTGACATGGTGCCATATTACATGCGTGTTGCTGTAATGCCTGCCGCTGACGAGGGCCTAGAACTCGAAGACATGATGTTAACAGGTGCAGGTGCTCGCCCAATAGTGGCCCCACTTTAATCCACCCGATAGCAGCGGTTAAGGTTACGTGGTGAATGTTAAGGTTAGGGTTAGGGAATCAGGGCTAGCCAGATATGGACTATCAGATAAGTAGTGAGACTTGGTATCATTTTATCTTCACCTCGCCGCTGACCTATGTGCATCGTCGACTGGAGGGCAGGGCAGAGCCAAGAGTCCCGAGACTATACAAAGATAGGAACCCCGTACAATGCATACAAGCTGACGTTGCCCACGCCCGGGTGGTGACAAGTGACATGGATTGTGTTGTGTCGACTTTGTCCTGACCGGTGCTGCCCATCGTTGCGTCTGCCTGCAAGGCCAGTAATCTACGAACAGAGCTTACTACCTTTGTAGGTATGCAGACATAATATTGCAAGACCTACCTAGTAGTTCAAGCTGTGTAATTTAACACCACCTCGCTATTGGTCCGTCCGTCTCAAGAGGTCGAGTGACATGGCGTCTATTACCACGAGGATCATCCTGTTGTATGTAGGGAGAAACTTTAATGTCCTTCCCATCGCCACTCTTGGAAGTAAAAAGCGACGACATCGACTACTGTGCCAGTTTCGCCGCATGGCAAAGTTTCGCCGTCGAGCTTTGACCCGCAGAATCCCGAGACGGCTTTCCCCGCGAGTATGATTTTATCCCCGCGAGTCATCAAGCTAAAGTCGCTCGACTCGAACAGTACGTTGCAGCGCAAGCGCAAATAGCAAACGCAGCAACCGACCACGATTCCTCCCGGTTTTAATTGATTAATTGTTTCCGGTGGTCGCAGCAAGAGATCAGCTGGTGAAGTGGTCACTGGCATATCTCGTTGACGCTACACAAACGTTAATGTTAGTACATGTCAGGTCAGTGCACATGGTTGAAATCCCTGAAGCCCAGCCATGTCTCTGGATTGGTCCGGAAGCACCGTCATAATAGAACTTTATACTTCGTAAAGTATTTTTGTATACTCGGTGAAGAAGGGTTGATGCGGTCAGTCGACACAGTGAACTCAGACATCTCTGATGTCTGCTTCGGAACGTTCCCGATCAACAGCCACAAGAATGGGTCTCCTGACGGCAAATTGTCACCAACCTGCCTGTTGGCTCTGGAGTCGTGGTGGCCTGTTATTGATGTACGGGGCAGTTTGTCGTGACTCAGCTGCCATGAACAAGATTGTTGCCCAAGAAAAGCCCAAATCGGTTAAATCGGTGGGGACAGGCTATTGAGAAAATTGGGGCGTGGCCAAATGGAAGGCCGGCAGCGAGAGGTTCTAGAAGACGGAAGGACGCAAAGGATCAATCGATTGAGGTCCGGGGCTGGCAACTCTGGTGCTTCAGCTGGTCAGGGTTGGTGGCCGATCGGCTCCGGGTCGGCGCTCCAGGTATTCAAACAATGCTGCGTTCGAGGCCATCGTCATAACCGAACTCGGTACTCTGCGCTTGATTCGCTACCGGCTCAAGGAACTGCGGCATCCCCACCAGCGCATGCAGCTGCATGCAGCTTGAAAAACGACGTCTTGCCGTTAAAGTTAATCTGCTGTGTGTGCGTATGATTGTTCGACAAGGAGCCGTCATTGTTGCGGCGTGACAGGCTGAGAGATTGAGATACAGCCATGACAACTTGAGTGCTGTACGATAACTGACTCAGGAGGTCGAGTGGTAATAGAAGCAATCGTAGACAATATCGAGAAGCAGACAGAGTAAAGTTCACCGTTATTGCTCATACAGACTCGGACATGTCCGTAGGCACATGATCCTGGCATATCAACGGCAGGCACGAACCACAGCATCCAATGTTGAACGACAAGTCCACCTCATACCTCCTTCCCAACAAAGTCGACCATTGCTGCCGACTCCCGTCACGGACTCACATCATGGGAAGGTGCAGTGCAGTCTTCCCTCCGCCTCCGGGAATTGAACCCAATGTTGCGTGCGACTTTGACATGCACGAGCATGTACTCTGCATTCATGTCCCATGCCCGTAGAGTCGTTCGAGGCGACACACTTGAGAAAACCCCATCATTTCCGCATCACGCACCGCAAATTGCCAGGTCTCATATCCGACAGAACGGCCGCCAGTCGCCCTCTTGTGTCGTCTTCGATCTTTTCTCTCCATTGTCCAGGTGCGAGGAGGCTACTGTTTCATCTGGCTAAACGACATCCAAATAGGGATGACGGACCTGGTTCAGCCCAAGCCATCAATCACCCTTCCCACCGGGGCTCTTGCATTTCACTGCATACCCGTCGCATGCGATCAACTTAAACTAAATGAGAGAGAAAAGTCAATCCTCGACCGGATGCCTTCCGCAGGACACCTCTTAATTTTATACAATCGGCAGCCAACTGGTGCATGCGCGCTCTTGTTGGGGCCCCACATTCGACAGGCGGTTCCATCATGCCGCCTCGACGAAACCACCACACCAGACGGCTTGGCTTGGTCCAACCCAGCTGAAAGCGCGACAATTTCTGCGCCAGGCGGGTGCAAGCCAGTGCGGACAATGCGAGCGACGTTCCCGACCACTCTCTGGGTTCCGCGCCTGCACCGCTGCATCAGCTCGCCGACGCTGCTGCTGTGCCGTCTACGAACCATAATCTCTGCCGACCGTCGCTTTATCTTGTTTGCCCAACTATCGCCCACGAGACAGGGGGCACAGTGCTGCCCAGTCCTTGGAATGACCCATTTCAGCTGGGGAGTTTGCCGCCTGACACGCCGGGTCTGGCTCGGGCAGAGAAAAAAGTTTCGAACTCAGACTCCAGGCTGGAAGTGTAATGATTATTCCTAGCGAACGCAGTGGCTCCCGAATGCCTTTGGCAAGCCGCCGGCACATCATTGAACCAGTTCCGGCCGAGTCAGCAAGCCATTTGAATAGCCTTTTGGTGCGACCCTCGCTGAAAAGTCAGGATAGAACCCGATGGCCACCGGCTTGGCGTCTCTCCATGCGGCCGTACCGCAGACCTGTGACGGATCCGGAACGTGTTTGCAGATTTCATGTCGCGCGTTTTCGCTAGGCCTGCTGCAATTGCCAGGATGTCCATTTTTCCATGGCGAGCTGACTGCTCCGTTATTTTTGCATCTTGGGGCATCATTCAATCCTGTCGCTCGTCACGGACCGATCCAGCCTTGATCCACAAGCCATACGATAATACCGAGCACTTAAGTTATTAACTGCATAATACATGGAGTAGTTACACTGCGAAAAACATGCATGCCGCCATCTTGCAGATTGGATTTGCTGTCAAGTGGACTTTTGTGGCAATCAAACACAGCGGCCCGGCCGGTGCCCCAGATTACAGACCTAATTACCAGGAATAGATGCCTGGGCATCATGCCAGAAGGAATCAAAGGTCAAGTGCCTGGGCGTGCACCCATCATACTTCACCCGTCACCCTCGCTCCAACACGAGGGAGCTAAAAATTTCCCCTAGGGTCAAGCTTGTGTTGGACGGCGTTGACATTCAGAGCTGAACAATGTGACATCCACGGCTGGCGTCGACGCACTACCACATCTACCTCAATTCCCAAGTGGGTTCAGAGCAAACTAGTAGTGTCATGGGCCTGGATCTGCTTTTCCTAAACAGCAGTTCTTGTCCTGCTGGGGAGGAATGGATTGACTTGTCAGGGCCATGGCATAAAAGGTTCTGCGCCCCAAACATCCGCCCCTTCTTGGTTGGAGGGAATTCCGCCAAGTTATCTCACCTCTCAGAATCCTCTTTGGGTATTCCTTGGGACCAAGTTCCAAAAGCATTCATACGTTTTTGCGGCACCTAGAGTAAATCGAATTCCCTCACTACGGACTTTCGGCATCTGGACAGTACGACGATACTCTGTTTGTTCCCTCCAACCATCCTCACGTCGAACCCAGCTTGCGGGCTCACTGTGGACTATATCGATTTGAAGACGAGTTGTTCAACGCTTACATTACATCTGGATATACAGTTACAAGTTCAGCCAAAGAAATCTTGACGTCGCAGTGCACCGCTTGGCCCCGTTCCGCCCATAAAAGAAACAAAGACAGAGAAAGAGAAACAAAGTACCATCGAATATTGAGGAAACCGGCTGGCGGCCTCGGATTGGACGAGCGTTACTCCAAAGAAACAAAGCACGACAAGTTGTTGCCGCCCGGCTCCTTTGACAAGCATCACGGGGTGTTCGCACATCGAGGACCAAGCGAGGAGGAGATCCAATCGTCGCGGATTAGTAGGGATTCAACCCGCAGCGGACGCTTGCACCACTTTCCATTCTCAACGTCGATTTGCTTCTTGCAGCGCCCCCAACCCTCCGTCAATTCTCGTCATTCTCCCGATCATAGGGCAGACGACAACCGCCCGTCTGACGTGACTATAATAAAGCTAGCGGGCACCTTGTCCCGGACCCCTGCGCTGACGACGCCAAGGTTCGCCACACAGGAGACTCTTGCGCAGCCATGCCAGCGACGCCAGTGACCAATCGTGAACTAACACCGGCCAGCGGTTCCATGACCATGGCCGACTACTTGAAAGCGCAACAACCCACCTTGGACAGGATCCGGACTGGACTTGCCATCTTTGCTGTCTTTGTCATTGTCCGTTTCTTGTTGCTGCGTTTATATGCTCTGATACGGGGGAGGATAAGGTTGTCGTCACCGTCGGGCAGCCGAGACGTCTCACCTGTACCAGCGCACTTACAAGATCCTCGTGGCCCAACTTGGCATTTCAATGAAAAGGCCACCAGCAGCGGCTTCTTGGACAACATGAAGGACGACGGCGCGGCAACCAGAGACGGCCATGACACGGCTGCAAAGACCAAGCTCACCATTGACCCAAATTGGAGTCGAGAGGCTGAGGCGCTTCCCAGGCAATTTATCTCGCGATTGCCCCCTGCGCCACCACTAACACCGCCTGAGCTGAGCTCCGCCGTCTTCAACATCGCCGCGGATCAGCCTCATGCTGTTGACAGTTTCATGCGTCAGCCTAACCCGGATTACATGAGCTCAACCTCGTCAGTCATACCACAGTCTGATGCGGATTCGCCAACTACACCACGACGACGATCTTATCACAGAACTTTGCCTATGGGAATTCCCACCCCACAGCAATCCTTCAAGGCCGACGTGGATTGCGCAAATAACTCCTTCTCACCCAGCTCGTATCCGCCAACCAGCCCGCTTTTGCCGCCGCCTCCCCCAGGCGCTGCCGAGGCTTTTGGTGACGGGCAAGCCCAGCGAGAAGTGAACATCCAGGGCGAGATTATTTCAGCCTTGGACAACGAGGGCGCAGGGTGGACTCGTCATACCCGCGTTTACGGCGGCGGTGTTTGCCTGGCATGCGCTGCCTCTGGAGGTGAACATGCTGGTGGTTTCTACGGAGCAACGGTCACGCCAGAGGAGATGCGGCAAGACGCTTACTCTAGAAGAGGCGGCGGCGTCTTTGTACAGTCTTGAAGCAACTCTTGTTTCTTTTAGAATGGACTCTTGCCACGAGTATGTAACGGCCAGTTTTCATGACGACATTGACAGCGACAGAATGTTTTCAACAGAGAGGGTCTTTTTTTTTTTCCTTTCCCACGCTCAGGGGGCAGCCTTCAGCTTTGGTCAATACGTTTTTAACTTGAAGTACGTACCTATTTCATAGATGGGCAACGAGCCTGAAACAGGCTCGACGAACAACGTTTATTTCTTTTGAGGGCTTTTTCTTTTTTTGGGTGGTATTCAGATCGGTTGTGTCTCCTCTTTTGGCAGGGGGGGAAGCACGGAAAGATTGGAGAGATCTGGGTCGGACGAACATGAGGCGCGAACTTTTATACCATCTCGGGGTGTTGGATTTGGTGCGCCTTGAGAGAAGTTTTTAGATATTCTTCCTGCGTATAAGATGATAATGACCGACATGACTATTCCTGACACTACTCCCTAGTCCATCCCGCTAAGCTATTGTGCCCTCTCCCCCGGTTTACATGTACAAATTGAGTGAGGACGTGAGGAAAGCTCAGGATTCAGAATGAGGTGAGCGACGCGAGCTGGGCGATGATCCGCTAGCTTGTCATGCCTTACGGCTTATTCACATCCCCCCCTTCTCGCAAAGTCAACCCAGTCCCTGGGGAGACAAAGCTTGCCCCCTCGTACGTACATTGGTTTTCATGTCTGCGGTTCATAAAATGGAACATGTCCCGATTTGAACCAGGCTGCCTAACCCCCCTCCTCTTCTCCGGCACAGAGTACTTATCTGAAAGGGACAGGCCTCCCCCTCCTTCTAGTTCAGTTCTGTCCGGGGATCCCCAATGCGTCCGTTTGCGTCGTTGGCCTCGGGAAGTTCGGCCTTGGCTGGAGAAGGGGGGAATACTAGCCAAGTCTGACGGCTTAGAGCTGAAGAGGAGAGAGCCTACGCCTGCCGGAAGTTGATTCACGTGGTGTTTTGGGGAACATGCGCGTCCTTTGTTCATTGACAGTGTTGGAGAGAAGAGGAATCAGGCATCGTAAATGGACAGGGAGGAGCGGCCTCGGTGGAGGGGACAGGATTGCCGTGCGTCTGGGGGAGGGGCGGGGGCGTGAGGGGATAGAGGTCTGACGTGAGGCGAAGGGCTGGTCGTGTCAGTACCAGCCGTTGGTTGGCGACGTTGGACGGGTTGAGGCCTCGTCTGCATGAGATCGCGTAGGGCTGTGGACCTGGAGAGATCGGCCCCGTGATGTTGGTGATGGGGGTGTCCTGTCACGTTTGGGCCGGTATTGTCGTGATTACGCATGGCGTTTGGGGGTGGGAAGGACGTGGCCTTGGGTTGAGCTGGGAGGCGGGCCATATGGGCTAGGTTGGAATATGGTTTATGGGGGCGTTTTGTTTCGGCCTTGGTCTGCTGGTGACTAGGTGAGGTGAGTTGTGGGTTTGAGAGAAAACTGAGGCGTGCTAGGCTGGAGTGAGGTTGCGTAGATGGTGAATATCCTAGTATCAGGTGTATCTAGGTTTGGTGTGTGCCACTGGTCTTCAAGGGTACTAGTGGTTTACTCTTTCAACGGGAACAATTTGAGTTCCTGATATACGGAATGACATTGGATGCTGGGGGCTCGATATAACGCCTTGCAGTGCTATGTTCCCCAGCACCAGGCAACACTTTTGTGAAACGGTAGTTCTGGCTGCTGATGCAAACACAGGAAGCACAAAACGGCTGCGTCTGCCACAGCACGGGTCCGTTGCTGTCTCGGGAAAATTCAGCATGCTTAATACATGATGCACAGGTATGTCTGAGACTGGGCGCACAGTGAGTCAGCCCATGGGTCCCGCGAGGTTCGTGGCGGTATGAATCTAAGTCGGGGTCGACGAGTAGAGAACCCACGGCGATGGGAGTTGGGTGGCAGTTGGTCTTGTACGGTACCTGTGCAAGGGTTTAGGTAACGGGAGCTTTTCACTCGGCAGTTGCCCGCGTCCAGAAGTCGTGTAACGCCATCGAGGGGAGGGGGGAATCGTATCGGTACACGGAAAAGCGTGTGGGTGTTGTCTTGTGGACGGGATATATCAGAGTGTGGCTGCGGGACTGTCCAGTAGCAATGGTCTACTGACGTGTATTCGTATGTTGCGTTGTCCGTGGTGTGCTTCATGCATATGACCTCTGTGGGCGTGGACGGGCGTGAAGTGTGTTTCCAGCGCGCGCGAAGATATAATGTCATGTTGCGAGTGACCATGTTGTTCCAGGCGTGGACTGTGTCGACGACAGCAAACTCGAATTCTACGGAAGAGCCGCTTCACAATGGACCATGGAGCGGCGGGCCAGATATACCATCATGACATTTCACCCGCCCGGACGCGATCAGGCCATCTTAAACGATCCATGATCCCCTTTACACATCCTCCAAGGCCGTCAACAGCACCGCAGGTTTTCGAGACAACAAAATCCCAGCCCCATGCTGCGCAGACTCGGACGGTTCGGCTATCCAGTCAGACAAGATGCTCATGTTCCATTTCAACACGACATACCTCGTCCAGAGGCCTGTGTCCGCCGCCTCGGAGTCTCACGGCATCGCCATCACTCGTCATAAATTGCACCGGCGCCTGCAACAGTTAGCCATGGTCATTTACTCGAGGCAGAAAAAGGGTCGACGTGCTGGCTCAGTGGTGACTTGGCGCTCAACGCCGTTCCTTGGTTGCTCCTGGTCTGTCATTTTATTTTTGGAGTTTGGAAGATGACGCGTTGTGGGTGACATGAAAGGGCGCAAACAAGTTCAAAAGTGGTGAGAAGCTGAGGGAGGTGAGTGTGGCCGAGCACGTCTGACGTCAATGTATCAAGGGAGGGGTGGTCGAGAGATTCATCCAGGCGGATAATTCCACCTGGAAAGAAGTATGGCCTGACTAAGGGTGTTCGTGATCATCACTAGATGTTGGGGGTTGATTAATCCTCCAGTAGGGAGGAGTATCCTGGCTTTTGCTTAGTCTCATCAGTTGTGGTGTGTGCGTAAGGAAACCTACCCTATATACCTTGCATATTTGTGACATCTTGAAAGCTTAATGCGGTCAGTGTAATATGGAATAATTCGATGAATTATTTCTCGTATGGGATCAGGACATGTTTGTTGGATATGCTAATTGCTTTTCTGTCAAAATAATGCAATGTGTGTAAACATGTGATGGACTCACTTGGGAGGAACTGGAAGTGTCCTTATCCGCGAGACACAATTCCTGATGGCTCGAGAGTCATACAAAACAAGTGCCAACTCGGCTCATGCTGAGGACAAGGTTGGGCATCGTTTGCCTCAGGCCATCATGCATGTTTGCTTCTACTATTCAGTACATCGCAGCTTCCCCGCAATAGAGAGGCACCAACAATAACAAGAGACATGGCCTGTATTGTCTTCTTTCTATACTTGTCCAGGTGACCCATCTCGATACTACTTACTACTAGCACGGACGGTGCCCCATGTACAGTGTCAGCCGCAAGGCGGCACCATCGATTGGCTGGGCACACAACCCGTTAAGCGCCGAGCCAACAAGTGGTGAGGCTGGGTTGGATCGGTGAGCTGCCGAGACGAGCCACTCAGACAACGGGCAGCTCATTTCGTTTCCGAAGGCTTGGTCGTGCGAGGAAGTGGAAATAGTTTTTCGCTTTTTGTCTTGGTTGGGGTAGGGTCAGCAAACCAGGATGATGTGCATACGGCGTACGGAGTACGCCCACGAGTCCACGGGCCACGACGACCTGAGCGGTCCTTTGTGGTAATAACCGTACGGAGTACTGGGTCTTTGAACAGGTCATGTCCAATGGAGGTCATAGGGGTGACATAGTACATACAATATATAACATAAGCCTTCTTGTCCAGTTGTACAATTCCAACTGGGGCAGAATATAGTAGTTAAAATAATAGTGTTGTCTATAGTAACGCAACGGGAAATACAGATACTCGAAGTGCATGAATACTCTCCATCTAGGCGAGGAGTTGCCTTTAGGGCAATTGTAGATGGTGATGAGCATATGAACAGCTCCGTGCAAGGTGTCGTGATTGGGCGGTGTTGTTCCCGCCTCACAAGCTGGCCTTGGTGAGGCGACATTGTACATTGTCCTAGCACATCTTTCCGAGTCTAGTTTCCCCATGACACTACTCCGTACTATTCGTAGCCTGCAAGTGTTCACAAACAGCGCCTCTCCTGACACAGGAGCACAAGCCGAGGGTCAGAGACCGCAAGCAATGGACAGGCCATCATTGACACTGGTGACACTTTGCGATTTGCAGCTGGGTGATTCTTAAATTCGCAAGAGACTCCACAGACCAAGGGAAAGCATTCAAATTGCTCACTTTGGCATCCAAGCTCCCCAGCAGGCGTCCAATGCGAGGCTGGATCGGCGGGAAGGGAAATGAAGGGTGAGCATGGCTTGCATGGGTCAGTGGCCGTAGGGACCAGGAGTTATCCACACTTGTCATGGTGGACAAGGGTGCTCCGTATTAACCCTGGTCTCTCGGAACGAACATTTACGCTCTATAACTAGAAGACGATATGAAGCATTAGGCAACAAAGCCGCCGGCGATGTTGACTGCGTTTAGTGATGAAAGTGGGAGACGAGAGCCATCAGTTGTGCAATACCGGTAAGTTGAGGGCGGTTCTTGATTAGGGTTCATAACGGGACCAGGTGGTTAACTCGCTAGGCCCTAAACCAGTCTGGCCGCGAGCCGCTCCGTCCCTTGAACCTCGGCAAGCAATTGAGCGCGACTACGGAGTAGTTGGCGCGTTTGAGACTCACGTTCGCTCGGAAAAGGTGGTATGAGCTGGCTGGCTGATTTTACATACAGTGGGAGGGAAAATGTGTTTAACCAGGCCAGGTACCTAGCTCTCGCGCTCTATACTATGATATACTGTAGTGCTTGTTGTAGTGTTAGTGTATATTTCTTGGTGGGCAAATATATTTTCGTCACTGGCTGTAGTTGGTAAATTTTGAGTCATACATACATTAGCTGACAGAGTCTATCACTACCCTGTACTCCGTAGCCGATACTCATAGCTCAACCTCCATCTCTGACAGCGCTGGCAGCATTCGACGTGCTTGCTTCTTGGTCAAGTTTGTAACTACCGTGTCCCGAGTAGCACTAGTTCATCTGGGAGTGCGTGCGCTCCGTCTGACCATCAGGGGCCGAGCAAGGATGGATGACAATAGTTGTGGTGCTGGTCAACGCCCACGGGCTAGCCGAACCACAGGGGTTCGTTTTGTTGATGGAGTGAAGGCGGCGAAGGCATGCGACAATATCGAGCTCATGGAACCTGGAATGGGGCCCAGAGAATAAGTAATAAATCAAATGTCATGACGATTCATTACGATCAGGGTACGAACCCGGATGACTAAGTATGGAGTATAGAGTTTGAAGGAGCGAGAGAACAGAGACGGGGCGATATTTGGCATTTGGGTTGACAAATCAAGGTTCGTCAAGTTGGGAAGGAGCCACCAGAGGCACAATTGTGCTCCATTCACGTCATGCATGTAGGTACTACCAAGATACCTCAGTACTTTGGCCAAGAACGTCATCTCATACTTGAGTAACCATATTCTAATACCTAGTATAACTGCCATTGGGAAACACAATCGAAAATTCACTCTTGAATTCGGCTGTGCATTTTACTGAGCATGAAGGTAGCAGTCTACTCCGTAGCAGTTCAGTTATGAGTGTCTAGGGTCTGTGCATGCGACAGCCCAAGCTAACCGGGCACTTGACTCGATGTGGCCACGGTTGAATGTTCGTGCACAAAAAAAAGGAAAGGAAAAGGAAAAAACACCAATAAGTGATAATTCACGGAGTAGTCCGTATTGCTCCGTGCGATTTGACCGTGGCATGTCCCAAGTCGAAACAATAACAGAGGAATCGCTTTTCACATTGTAGTCTTCTTGCAGCATCTAGTCGACCCGCGTATGTACACTGGCGAATCACGGCAAAGCGGGCTGAGGGGGTGCATGGGACGCATGGCACCAGGCACAGAGTTATCCAGAGTACTCCGTACGAATTGTGTCGTATTTTTCCATGCCTAAATGCCTGATTTGGACGCGCACAAAAAAGCGATTCGTACAATACCGAAGCACCAAGCGTGACGTCCATGTGTTCATGTGTCAGGCATGCAAGCGACAACCAAATTGGCGAATCTACCATGTCGTTGCTATGCATCATCTCCCTTGTGCATTTCTATTCTTTGAATGACAATGGTGAAAATGCTGAACGGACCAAAACCCTGCACAACAGGGCACCGAGGACAAAAACCATCGAGTCGAGTGCTGCGAAAACGTCGCCTTGGCTCGAACTTCGGGGCGGCGAACCCCGCAACCCCTGTGGGATCAATGCAATTTATCTCCATCTCGGCGCGACTCCGAGTCTTGATCGACGACTGCGTTTCGGCCTGGGAAAATCGAAGGCGTTCTCGGCAGATTTCAAGATGGACAGCAAGGATATCCGGCTCGCATGAAAGTCAGTCATGCTCAGAGGGTAAAACCTGGTTTCAAAACCGCTCGGCAACCGCACGATGAACGAACGCTTGGCTTTGTATGTTGGCTGTTGTGCATTAATTTATGCTCGTATGCGACTACCTACCTCGCACATGTGCACCTTTGAGATGGATGAGACAGGAGGGTACAGCGCGACAGCAGGGAGGAATGTGGCTGCTACGTACTGAACTTGCCAAGCTGGAAGGTCGACTCCTGCCACCCGCGTCACCGTCCAGAAGTCCTCTGAAGTCTTCGCCTGGCAACCCGGTACGACTGGTTACTCAAACTCACTGGCCCATAAGCGCCGTCTGACTGGACCCCCGTCGGTCGCTAAAAAGTGACCACGTTGGCTGGCCGGCCCAATCGTGTGAGACCAGGACTGGCCCCCCTTACCTTGTGTTCACAGCAGGCAGGAACCCCGCAAATACGCCACACAGTGCCGTGCATCTCATGATTGGCTAGAGACGGGCACCCGCGCGTGACGGGGACGTGGTATCTATTGGACGCAGAGGTGGCAAGGAGGTACTAGGGAGGGGTCTAGAGGCTCCTGCAAGCGTTTTGATACGCCGAAACATGCGCTAGAACATTGTGCTTATGGAACAAGTGGCCAAGGTGGCTCCAGGTGGCTCCAGGTGCCGCTGGAGTGCTTGATGCAGAGCTGCGGTGCCCGACTCTGAGGCCGCAGGCTCTACAGCAGCGCTACTGCTCCCATCAATTGATATTGCTCTGGACCCTGTGGCTACGGAACGGCCATCTGGACACGGCTGGACCTGACTGGACAACTGGTGCGTACTTGTGCTCCCGCACCTTGTACCAGGTACCTGACAATGCGTGGCCGCTCACCAGGCTACCAAAGTACAGAGTACCTGCGCTCTACTGGCACCTGGTTGGCACCCTGCGGAGCATGAACAACTCGGCCTGGGACGTGCAAGAGCCTCTTCGCCTCCCACCAACCCGCCGATTGTGTGCCTCCACGCCTCCACGCCTCCATGTCTCCCATGCAGCCCAGGAGCCCCAGTCACACTCCCATCGTCAACCGTTTTTTTTCTTCCCGGATCCTCCACTCCCCTTTTGCTCGGCTCTTGCTTCTTCTCTTTCCATCCCATCCACCTCACACTCACCTTTATCTATCTCCTCCCTCTCCTCCCCTCCTTCCCGTCGTCCGCCCGCCGCCGTTCTCTTTTCGCTCGTCGTATTTCAGCCTCGTTCCTCGAGTTTGTCTCCGTCCTCATTAATTTCCATCGCTTCCTGTATCCTGGCACGCCGCGATTTCGTGCCCGTCGCCACACTCGCCTCTGCATCGACCTCGGGCTCCGAATCCAGCTCCTGGACACCACCAAAACCTTCGGATAGCCAAAGTGAAAGAAGAAGAAATAAAGAACGAAGAAGCTTGATAGATCGGGAAAGAAAAGTCAAAAAAGTCGGGCATTTTTGTTTTTACGTGCACGCCGGATATTATTTTAGAAGGCAACCCCAACCTTCAAACACGCACAGCAACAAGCAACAGCAACACACTCTTACATGTGCACCATACTCTCTGTTGGTTTGGTCCTTCGCCGTTAATTCTCTGTACTATTATTTTTTCGGCCGCTCCTTGCTTTGTCGACACGAACAACACGCGCACCTTCACGCACGGGAACTTGATCGTTGAGGGAGTATTCACGCGCACGCCCACACCACTGGTCCGAACTCCTCCCAGCGTTACTGCAATCATCGTTGTCACAGTCTCTTGAGCACCCATAACCGTTCTTTTTAATTTCTACCCCATTGATACACTTTCATTGTCCCCAATTTCGGCCAATTTTAGAACGCAGCAATCTGATTATCGGCACCCATACACCAATAACCGAACAAACAGCGGAAAATTTTGCAAATATCTTCAGACAAGCTCAGTTACGTGGCGACAACGTTCCTTGAATCTGAGACGCCCGTGCTGGTCCCAAAGCCTATCAAGTTGACCTTCCCCTTTCCCCGCTCCCGGCTCAAGTAGCTACGCAGGAAGAGGAGAACACGTTCCTGTCGGAGATCTAATACCAAGAAGGAATAAGCCATAGAACTTGTCTTCTAGTCTCGTTCCTTCTGCTCGTTCTCTTGCCCTGTATTCTGTTTCATCATCAGCCACCAGATCTTGCTACCTGTTTTAATCTTGTTGCATTTTTTTTTCAGTCTTGGGACAGCGGAAAAAAAAACAAGCAACTATCGTCTGTCTTCTTGTTCACATTCAGCCCTTTTTCTTGGATTCCTCTTCACTTTTTTTTTTTTAAGTCGACTTGTCAGCTTCGCGCTTGCCGATCTCAATTGTCTTATTTGCCTCTCCGCATTGATTATCAATTCTTCGTATTGTGATCTTGTGGAGACGTTTCGCAGATAGGCACCACCTGGCATTATAAACGTCCAGCTGCAAACCACCTCACATTCTATTCATTTTCTAATTATTGTGGTCCTGGTTTGTTGTTCATTCTCGACATACACTCGCGAATTTTTTCGGTCGTCGGCCTTCGATTCTTTAGTCCGCGATTTCGATTCTTGTCAATTTCTGAGCAATGGACGCAGGCGGTCTCGCTCAGATGACTTCAAACTCCTTCAATTCGGCCAACGGGCTGCCTATGCCCGCCGGCGGGCTAGCCTCTCGTCGAGGCAGCCAGAATATCAAGCCTCTCTCGTTTGACACAATTAAGCAGGGCAACGCTAGTAAGGATGGTGGTGTCCCTACTCCTCGCACAAGCCGCTCCCATCTGCTTGCCGGTCTGCGAACAGCCCCTAAATCCGCGACTGCAGCCACGTTTGGTCCTACAACTCCTGCATCAAATGTTACTCAGCACTACGCTAGACGCAGTATGGCCGCCAATCTTCACGGTTATGGCCAAGACAACATCTACAATGCTGCTCCTAAGACGGCGTTTCCCCAGTACGGCAACCAGCAGAGTATGTATCCGAACATGATGGGTAGCCAGCAATACACTGTCGATCAGGTCCTTGCGCCACCTGAGCTTCCCATAGATGAACAAGCTCAGGAGCATATGGATCCCAACCTCTACGCTCAGCTCGTTGCTACCAACATGTACCTTGCTCAGCAGCAGCAGAAACTTCAGCAGCAACTTAGAAACGTTCAAGCCGCCGCTCAGCAGTTTCAGCAGCTCAACCTCAGCAGCTCCCAGCGTACCCAGCTTACCCAACAGCAAATAGCTCTCTACGAGCAGCAGCAACAGCTCCACAACCTCCAGCAACAGCTGGGGGTACAGGCTGCCATCAGCCAGGGTCAGCAGGTTTACTACAGCCCGGTCACTGGTCAATACTACGTTGATAATGCATCCGTCTCCACAGCAGCCCAAATCAGCTCTCATGTCGACCAACCCATGTCGCCGACGTTCAATAACGGACTCCAGAACGGAGTTCAGCAACAGCTTCAGCAGCACCTCCCACAACAGCAATACCAGCAGTCTCCTCAGCAAGGAACCCCGCGAGTTCAGGTCTCCCCACCTCCCGAGAATCACCACTCGATGTCGCGCTCCGGCTCTCCTCCCAAGCGGTACGACTCGCCCTCGGACGTGACGCCATTGCCTCCCCCATCTGCCAACGCATTCCGTCGTGGTCATAAGAAGGCTTCATCTCTTGCACCCGTCAACAGTGCTCTGGCTGCAGGGAATACCTCTGCTGATGCTCCCAAGTCTGCAGGTCCCAAGACAGCCTCTTTCCCTTTGACACCCATGACTGGAGGCTATGGGCCTGGCCAGGCCCGCGCTGGTGAGCATCCAACACGACAGCCACGGGGTCCTCCATCCCTGGATGAGCTCATCTCTAAGCCCACTGCGAAGCACGAGGGCAGTAAGAACTTTGCTGCTCGCACGCGTCGATCCGCAGTGCATAATCTTGTTCGTGCTGGTTTGGAGCGCCGCAAGGGCACGAGCAGCTCTGTTGGAAGCATGAGTCCTGTTTCTGAGACTGCTGAAGAGTCCTGTTCACCCATTACCGACAACGACTCAGATTCCGGACGAAGCGGCTCCGGCAGCCTAGCTGGCGAGGAGGAATGCACCAGCTCTCGAACCTCGGCTAGCGGCAGTTGGGGAGCTATTGGCTCTGACCGACCGAGTTCTCGCCAAAAGACTCGAGGATGTGTTGACAGTGTCGGCAACAACAGCCCTACATCTCTCTCTGAGGCCGAGTACAGCTCCTTTGCTACCGTGTTCAAGAATGGTGCCTTGCGTGCTCCTAAGACGCAGGAGGCGGCTGACGCTCACCGCAAAGCCCCTAGATTGGTTTTAACTAGTGTCGAGAAGCGCAAGGCTACCCCTGTTGCTTGAGCCCTTCAGCCGTCAGGGGACAAGAATTGGCTTACTTGATGTTCACATAAACGGCTTTTTCTCGCTGCTCTTTTTTTATTCTCACGACTTTACGCGCCCGGAACTCTGATCACGATTGCTCTCGGATTTGCGGATTTGTTTCATTTTGCATATTTGACTAGGTCAAATGACGTTATACGTTTTTATTCGCCTTCCGGTTCTTGCCGCTATGGACGGCCCAACGACGACACTTGCTCATTTGCATCGTCGGGGGGGACCACCACGAGGCTTTGATTTTCCACGGACCATCAGAGAAACATTTTCACTTATTTTTTAATTCACTTCATCGTCATTCCTTGTAGGCGTCTCTGCCGTCACGACTTGTCAGGGGCATGCCCCGTAGTATTATTCGGTTGTCTTTTAGAAGAAAGGGAGACGGAAATTGATCATGCCCATGACACAAAGAAAGAAGAAAAATAGTTAATATGGGAATTTAGGAATTTTGGACTTGTTGCTGCGACATCAATCATGGTCTGCCGTCTCTTGAACAGAACAGATTCAGAATTCGACAATTCTGTTGAAGTTTGTTCCCGGAAAACAGAGACCTGGACTCGCAGCCTGCTGGCACTGTTAGATTTAGCATCAACAAGAACCCACTGTTACATTCATTGTGCATCCTTCATCATTTATTGTTTCATGGTCTCGCTCAGTTCGGTCCTGCTTTGGTAATCTGGAAAGCAGCATGTGCGTCTGCAAAGGAAAGGCTGCCAGATAGCGAAAGGCACGGCCAGGAGCCGATGGGACCGCGGAAGGGAAAATATGAGAATGCTTCTCGTGATATTCTAGTCTAGTGCCACAACAGAGTGATGGCCACATAATTTTTTTCGCAAGTGTGTGTGAGCTACGCGTTTACGCGTCTATGTACATGTCGATGGCCATCGTGATGACGTTCCTCTATACTATGTCCTAGTACCTAACATCAGACGTGGTCCCCAGCATATCCAACATGTACCGCGATTGTCACCGGGTAGAGTTGATATTGAGGCGACAAAAAAAAAAAAAGACTTGATATATTTCCTGATAATCATGTACACCTCCGCTGATGCATGCCCTTCCCAAAAACAAGCAAAATCCTACCTATGCACCGTCCGCTGTCCCCAAATCCTTCCAGCAGGGGGTACAACTGAGCAAAATTATATATACATGTCCGCCAATCCTCTCGCTGTCATATCGCTGTCATTGCTCATATATACATGATTTTCCTTTTTCGACTCATCTCACATTAGTTCATTTTGCGTCACTATTAGACCACTTCAATTCACTTGGTGCCCTCTGCCGTCGTTTGGGTCCTCCTGCCACCGCAGTTGCAGCCGTTCCGTCGCGCGACGAGCCCGGACGCGATATACTTGCCATGGAGTAGCCGTTGCTAGATGCGCTATTCTCCTTGTTGCTGGCGCTGCTATCGCTGCGAACAACCATGGGCGGAGCGGGATCCCCTCTAAGAACGGAGAATGGAGCACCCGAGGGGCGACCGGCGAGGGAAGTGCGCGGGAGGCGGCTCTTAGAGGAGGGCCCGGCTGACCCAGTGGTCGCGGAGCTGCTCATGGATGACGTCGAGTCGCCGCTGACTCGGCGGGGGATGCTGGTTGGTACGAAGCCGGCTGTGCTGTCGCGGCTACGGGGCCGGTAGTAAATGGCATCGCGTTCGAGGGCCGAGGCGGCTGCCGTGCGGCGAGGACTGGCGGCGACTTCGATGAAGGCGCCTGCGTTGCCTGCCAGACTGGTTCTGCTGCGGTGGGTGGGCGTCTGTGGCATTGATATGGATGATTGGAGACTGGGAGGAGTGTAGCTCGTGTTTCGGCGGGCGCCTCTTCTCGATGACGATGCGGAGTTGGCCTGCGATGACGCGGATGTTACGCCGCTGTCATGGCGCAAGAGGAGCATTCCCGAGCTGCTGTCGATGTGAGACTTGACCAGCTCTGCTGCTAGGTTACGGACCAGGACGGCGGAGTCAGTCTCGGCTAGTGTCTGGATTGAGTCCATGAGTGACCGAACTTGTCTGCTGTTGAGAGTGCGAGATCCGTCGCCGCCGCCCAGGCCGGGCTCACAGGCGTCCATGATGATACGGACAAGTCTCAGCAGATTTAGTCGTACGACAGGTTTCTTGTGACCCAGTCGTTGGGCAATGCCAGCAAACATTTCTGGTTTGGCTAGCGATGCTGCTGTTGACGGACTGAGACGCAGCAGCTTGTGAAGTGGTTCGAGCAAGTTCGAATCAAAGGCGTTTAGTTTGTTCGTGCTAAAGCAGCTGACGATTGCTCGCGTAAAGTTGCCGTCAATGAGATGATTCTCCACATTGGCCGTCTCCTCCTGGAACCATACCAAGATTGCATCCAAGGCTGTGACCTGCCAGTACTGATCGGTTAATAGTGATACATAAAAGTCAAGACCCTTGTTCTGCCACAGATAGCGCCGCCCCTTGGACCCAGAGTGCGCCATGTCACACAGGATGGGCAGAGCAAACTCCTTAGGCGGGCGGTCGGTCTGCATGATGCGCAGCAGCAAAGGAATGATGCCTCCCACGGCCGCGTCTTCTTGACGTTCCTTGCTGAGCCGGCAGAGATTGAACAACGTATTAAGTACTTGGTTAGATATTTCGCGGAAATGTTTCTGGCCCTTCTTCATGCTGTAGCTGAGCAGATCGATGAGGAACTCTATAGCGTCTGCTGAGTGAAGGGTTTCAATCGTTGTTGATAGCATAGACAAGTTCTTGATGAACTTGAGCATCGTGACCTGGTGAATGGGCGTCATGCGTCGTAGATCCTTCAGCACACTCTTGAGGACTTGCCGGTCAGCCACGACCTCCTTGACGTAATTTTCTGCCTGACTGAAGAGGTAAAAGATATTGACAATTCGCCCCTCTATGAGCTCGCCCAACTCGTCTTCATCTTCCTCATCCAGAACCCGGTGCAGCACCAATGCCAGGGGGTATAAAATCTTGCTTCTAGAGAAGATTCTGCAGAAGTCGTTCTTTGGGGTCGGGCCTTGCAGTTCGAACACATTCCAGATGCCGTTTACCCCGATGAGTACCAAGTCTCTGGCGCTGTCATAGTCCTCGTCCAAAAACTCGACTAACACATTCAAACCACCGGCGGACACAAACATTTGAAGGGTCAGGGTACTGGTTTGGTACATTTGTCGCACGAAAGCAGCTGCTTCAAGTCTGATTTCGTCGGAATATTGGCGAGCTGCAAATTTCGTAATGATGGGTATGCCACCCACGAAGCAAAGGTTTTCTTGAATTTCTACGTCGTCGAGAATAATCTGCAGAGAGTCAGACTTGCACCACGGGGGAAAGCTGCGGGAATCAACTTACCGCATTGACGACTTTGAGTAGCTGCAATATCATGTACTGCCTGCTCTTGACGGTGCACGGTTCGAGGATCTCCAGAATCGGTAGCAATCCGTGCGCGCTGATGATCAAGTTCTTCACTTCCTTGTTCTCCCATAATAAGCCCAGCTGGTCAATAGTTAGCGAGTGCCCGATAGTGAAATAAAAGATTTAGTGCACTATTGGCGTACCAAGTCTTCAGACACTTCGGATAGGGTATCGTCGGCCTCAGTCGTCTTGAGTGAACTGACAAGGTCTTCAACCTTTTCTGCCAGACGAGCGTGCCTGTCTCTCGCAATGTTTGCTTCGAGGTCCATCTCATCCCAACCAGGGTCCATGGAAGCAAATGGGTCATATTCTTCTTCGTCGTCTCCAAGCCAAGAGTTGCTCGACATCTTTGACAATAGCATCAGACCACCATCCTCAGAGCCACGCTCGCTTTCCTCCTTGTCAGCTATGGAATCACTGGCGCCAAACACATCCGAAAAATCTTCGTCATCGTCCTCGGCAAATTTTTGTATCTCTATAGATGAGCGAGTGCGACGCATGGGCCGGTCAGGGAGCACCGACGGCCGGGAAGGCGGTCTCTTCCTGATACTACCGTCGGGAGCCTGCATGGAGCGGGGAAGGGTCGTCAAGTCTGATGGATGGAAGAGTTGCGGTGCATCGGTGGCACGAGATCCCTGGTTTACAATGGTTAGTCATAAATGGCAAAAAACAAACCTCTCGAAATAGAGAACCCACCCTTCTGACTGCTCTATTGACTCTGTAATTAAAGGCTTCGTCGTTGTCCACAAACAAGTCAGAGAAATCCTCCACACTCTGTTCTCGATATACTACGTCTGGGCGAGGAGGCAACTCAAATTTGCTTCCAAGGTGGCCCTTTGATGGGGATTTGGGTACAGAGGACCCAGGCACTTGTACAATTGCCTTTCCCAGAGACTTGGTGCGTTGGTGCGACTTGGCATTTGTACTCGGGACTGCCGCCTTATGTATCGGTCGAAGGGTCTGTTCCTGAACTTCGTCACGTTGGTGGGCTGGGCCTTTGATAGTTAGCAACTCGCCCTCAAAGTCATCATCGTAGTTGTCGGTATCTATTCTCAAGTCATTTGTAGATGCAAAGGCTTTGAGCTTGTCGCTTGACAGTAGACCCCCGAAATTGTCTTGTGGTTTCAGGTGAGGAAGATGCAATGCGCTTGGTGAGATGGCAGTGACGAAATCATCATCCCAATTGTCGCTATCTGCTACAAGGTTAGCCCAAGGCATCGAACGCTGAGAATTCGATATATTATGTATAGCTTATTGATAAAATAATTCATGCCCGTCAGGACTGTAAATTTACAAAACATACCTGCCTGCTCAGCTGTTTTGAAAGCCTCAACTCCAAGTCTGGGTTTAGCAAGTCCCATTGAGCCTTTGCCAGGGGTCCCGCCGACGAACCGGGACGATATTCCAGTAGTATCGGAGCCTGTAGACGACCGGAGTGCAGGTTCAGAGGAATTCAGCGCCTTGTTCCACTGCTTTACTTCTTCGACGGCCTGGTTGAAGTTGTCCGGTGCCTTGGATACTGGTGCTTCAGCTCGGCGGCAGCCAACAATCCATGCATGCCTCAACAGCTTGCGAGCTGACACACGCAGGTTTGGGTCTTTTTGGAAACATTGCATGAGAAAATCTCTCGCAGCCTGAGCCGTGTTAGTAAAAAAATGGCCGGGGACGGGTGGGGGCCAGGTGGGATACATACAGGAGAGATGCCCTCGGGCAGGGGAGGATGGTCGTCGTTGACGATTGCGAAGAGCGCTGGCATTGCTGCCAGATTGTGATATGGCGGTTTCCCCTGCAACAACTCGATAACGGTACATCCAACGCTCCAAATGTCAGAGGCGGAACTGGCGCCGGAGAGTTGAATGATTTCTGGCGCCATCCAGTATGGCGTGCCAACAACCTGAGCCTCCTTATCCTGGCCTCCTGCTAGTGTGCTGGTAGAAACGCCAAAATCTGCCAATTTGACGGTGCCATCCTTGGTCGTGAGAATGTTGGCTCCTTTGATATCTCGATGGATGACACCCTGGTCGTGGAGGTATTGAAGGCCTAAAAGAACCTGGGTCATGTAGACGCCGACAAGATTTTCAGGAAATTTACCATAGGCTTTAAGTATCGAGTGTAATGAGCCATTTTCGCAGTATCTAGCTAACTGTAAGCTTCACAAATCGCCGTCGTGAACCACTCCCAAGAACAAAAATCACATACTCTAATATGATGTTGAGGCAATCGGTTGCCTTTACGAAGCCGATATATTTAACAATGTTGTCGTGCTACCACATGTTAGACAGGTTCGACCACGGCAAAGATTTGTTTTGGTAGTGCTTACAAGAAGATTCTTGAGCAAGTCGATTTCGCTCTAATTCCCCCTTGAAGTGAGTACCTCTGTCTCTAGTAAACGTGGCGGCACAGAAAGCTGAACGCACCTCAATCATCCGTAATTCGCTCTTTGGCAAATCTGCGAGCTTAATCTGCTTGACAGCAACGGCTTCGCCGGTACTCCAGTTGAAGGCCTTGTAAACGGACCCAAACGCGCCTTTACCAATACATTCACCCAACGTCTATGACATGGTCAGCTCCTAGCTCGAATTCGAAAGGCTCCTCAAAATCGCGCCCCCTATGAGTTTTCTTTTCAATAATAATGAATAGAGGCAATGCCTACAATGGGTAAACGCACATAATCTTTCAGTCCTGGATCCTGCACCGCTGAGCTCTCTCGTTGCCGTTCCTTTCGGGATGGGGTGCCAGGCACGCCGGATCGTTCTCTGGTGGCCACAATGGCAGCATGACCAGCATGGCGGCCATTGCCATGGTTGGCGTGGTACTGCCGCTCGGGCGGCATAACTCTGAGTGGTGGTTACTCACCGCCCCCGTGTGTGTGCCGCCGGCGT